AAAAAAAAAAAAAAAAAAAAAAAAAAAAAAAAAAAAAAAAAAAAAAAAAAAAAAAAAAGAGAAAAATGAACAGCTTCGAAAGTTGGTTGTCCGCTCGTTCCAGACGACAACAACGTCAAGCCACACGCCCCAGTAAAAGAGAAAGAAGAGCCTGTCCCGGCGCAAAAAGCCGACTGTTATCCCGAGCAAGCTCATGCGTCGGTCAACTCAACTGCCGGCTATCTCTCGTTATGTTTAAACATCGTTTACGGCGAAACTGCGCTTTTTCACGGCTGCCATGCGGGTGAAATAAAAGGATACGGAGGAAAGAGAGTGTGCGTGTCCCGAACGAGCCCGGGGTCAGGGAAGGAGAACGGGAGCGCAGGTACGGCTAGGGTACGCTAGATCAGCCGAAGAGGTGGCTGCTGTACGGAACCGGTCCCGGGACGCTTCCATGTGTGGCGGATTGCGGAGTTCAAGATAGAGATAGAGACAACTATACGCTCGTGCTCCCCGACATCGAATTGTTTTTTTTTTTTTTTTTTTCCTTATAACTAGATATTTACATGATTTTATTTTTTATTTCGAAACGTAAAAACAGTTTGTGTAACTTTAATGTAAGTAGTCGTATTTATTAAAAAGTTGAATAATAATTTCGAAAATCTATTTGATAATTGTATTCAATATCTAGTATAAACACGTATTAAGATTAAGTTAAAATATAATTTGTATTCATCGTCAATGTTGTATAATCAATAAGATAATAATTATATATACATAAACTAAAGGAATAACCATATAAAAAATATGATGAAAAAAAAAAAAACTGTAATCGCTACATGTAAATTTTGTAATCTTTCCAAACTATAGTACATAGCTTATCGGCTCAGGTAGTTGATTCTTGCATGTGCATGACTCGATATCATCTCTCCAACGAACGCAAATCGCGGAGTGTACCGAATTCGCGAGCACTTGCGAATCAACGGACTCAACGAGAGGATGAATGTGGAAGAAGCACCTTTGCACGCAAACACCTCACATATCTGTAAAACTGTCAGCGACGATTAGATATCGTTGTCCTCTTAAATTAATGATATATTTTTTCAATGTGAGCAGACAAAATAAAAAAGACGAAACCATCGTAAAAAAAAAAAAAAAATTATAAATATATATGCATTTATATGAATAAATATAAGTATATAGATATTATGAATCTTTCGAT